TTTGTACCGGGCCGATAAGGCACCTCCAGCTCAACTAACAACTTTGACTACCTTCGTAAATTCTGCAGAAATATCGAAACGTCCGGAAGACTTTCACTAGATTGTAAAACCAGCGAGGGAAAAGTGCAACAGGCGAGTAAGAAAAGGAAAATTGGCCGAGACAGCCGCTAGAGCGGACTCAACAAGAATGGGGTCGCTCTCGAGATGGCGTGTAAAGCTTTTTATTTATTTACTTTTACACTTTTCATTGACGAGTCAAAGGGTGTGATATATTTGTTCCGTCGGTTACAGTAATAAATATACGGCTCCAGGAGCCGTTAGCTCGATCGCGTATAAAAATAAAACAAAGCGAGATAGTAAAATAATTCGAGCGGCAAAATCTTCGCGGAAAACCCGAATGCGAGACTATAACGAGACGTCTACTCAGCCGTGCAAAGGAAAAACAGCGTAGACAAATTTGAACGTTGCCAAATTTCTGTGGAACAAATACAACTTGCTTAAGAATGAATGCAGATTTTTTATTGATCTTTTCACAAAATTTCATTCTTGATATGATCGTAAAAGCCAGAGAATTTCACAAACAAATATTTGCATCTTTTCTTGGAATAAACATCTTGTCGGAGAGACATTTGGCAACGTTCAGAAGTTCATACCGTGTTTTTTCTTCGCAGCAGGGCAGTGCTGGTCACGGACATCAAACGGTGAACGACTGGAGATGGGACAGGGCTTTTATGTTTTATTCTTCTTTCATCCATCTCATCAAACCAATACTGCAGATGCGGTAGGAAGTTAAGACTCGAGGGACACAGTGGTCAGAGTAGGACGAAACAAGAAAAGCAATATATAGGAAAGGACTATATTCAGATTTGATGAGATTGCGAGCTCAACCAAGTTTGGGAATACGCAGATATTCCCAACACACCGAGAACTAAACTTGGATTCGTTGTCGGTCATTGCTGCCTTTAGAACAAAAGATACACGATAGGAGAACTGAAAGATTCGGAGATAGATAGCAGAAAAATTCCCGAAATATCCGCACACAGTCTAAAAAATTGGTGGATATTCGCAAAATTATCAGAATCAAATAATACTATAAAATACACTGGAGATCTGCGTTTTTCAATAATCTTTTCAAATCGTCCGAATTTTCACAAGATCTGAAATTCGAAGTTGTACATGACTATCTGCGGATTTGACGGTACTTTGATGGAACCCTGACCGTGGCAACCCTCTAAAGTGACATTCTCACGAACTTCCTCTTTTCAAGCTTTTCCAACTTGAATCCTAAAATTTTTGTTGTTTTTCCAACTTGAATCCTAAAATTTTTGTTTGAGGTTATGTCCCATTGTTTTGAACCAAACGATACATCGAACCACTATCGAATGCGATCCATTCTGGTCAGAGACAAGAGACCCTCCACACTAGTATCTTGACAATGGTGGAAGCTTTGACTTTCAAGACTTCAGCAATCAGCATTCTACTATTGACTTACTTACATGGTTGATGTTTAACGACGTGTTGGCAGTTTCGTTTTGCAAACAAGCTGAAGTTTGGGAAACTTATTCGGCTCATGACGTCGCCTGAAGCTCATCATCCACCATGTAGATTGTAGGTGGGTCAACAGCCGCAATAAGAGTGACGACTGTTGCTCCCTCATAATTGTCCATAAGGAATTGTTGAATCAGTGCTGCCATTTCCCAGAATTAATTTCGAAATTCGGAACTTTTTAAATAATGGGAACTTTCCCAGGAATCTTCTGAATCCCCAGAATTTTCAGCTATTTTCGGAATTTCCTCGAAATTTGCAGTTTTTCGCCAGTTTGACCATTTATATTAATAAGTCTAGAACCTTCTTGACCAAATTTGAAGATCCTTGAAACTAAGTCCGGGCGTATTTCGGAATTTTCCTCCGAAATTTTTGAAAAAAATCGGAATTTTTCTCGGAGCTTTGGCAAATCAGAATATGTTTCCGGAAATTGGAATTATTTCGGAATCTTTTGATAAAACAAAATGGCAGCACGGTGTTGAATCGCCGACACTAAAAGCTTCCACCTGTCGCCAAAGGGCCAGTAGAGGGTCTTTTGTCTCTGATTCTAGTCTACAGAATCCAACGCGATTTGGCAACACCGTTCGGATAGTGGGAAAGGAAAACCCGCGCGCCAACGCGGGAAAGTGACGCGATGCAACGGCAACGGCCAACGTCGGGGATCCGATGCCCCAGTTGGCAAGGGTGTTGCCGTTGAGCTGGCGACAGGGGACGCGCGGGGCACGGAACGGGGGGTGGGGTTGGGGGAGGGAGTGCCGCGCCGCGCCGTCCCGCGATCAATTTTTATTTTTCTACCCGTGCTTGTACGAAGACAACCCCCATTCCTACCAGTGCTACTTTCGTGCTCCGTTCCCTGGCTCATTACACTCGAATTCACGTCGCGGGATCACATTCGCATTCCGCCATCCTACATCCAGTAGTTACGATCGTTTTGCCGTTTGGTTACCGGTAGCTCCGGAGAAAAGTCCACCACCGATGAATGGTTACGAATTCGCCCCACCGTTTGAAACGGGGAGGAGCAACAGGACTTCGACATTTTTTATCCCGCGCGTTCGAGAACTAATTGGCTCTTTTTGGCAAAGGTAACGGATAAAAGAGGTGAGGGTTGTTGGATGATGGGGGCGTTTTCAATTAATTGTGGCGGTACCCCAGTAAAGTAGGTTACCAACCCAAATGTTGCGGTACTACCCCAATGACTAGGAATAGTACCACAATTTTACGGGATGACTCCTAACATTTTTCCCCCGTGGAGGGTATCTGTATCATTATAGGCCGAAATCGGTACCACCCTAAATAAAATCAGCTCGGGCGTTTTTTGATAGTAGGACTCTACTGCCGTGCTGAGGAAAAACACCCTGTGAACATCCGAGAGTTGCCAAATTTCCTTCAATGAAATGGTTATTTTTGGGGAGAGCTATGAATAATTCATCGTGAAATTTTCAGATAATTTAGATGTAATTACATAGAAAATGCTCTGAAAAATTTAACGGAAAATATTCAAGAGTTACCTTAGGGTAAAATTCGTATTTAATCTAAGGAAATTTGGCAACTGACGAAGGTTCATACGGCGTTTTTCCTTAGCACGGCTGTATAGGAGGCGTGCAATTAGCAAAAATAATAGGTTTCAGCAGCCCAACGAATCCCTCCGGTGACATAAATAGATTGCGCTAAAAACAAGGGTATGCTCTGAAAACCGAAAATGGTAATTTCTCTTGTTTTTTTTTCGAATTGACGCAAACATCACTGTAACGCTTCCTTGCGCCCTGCTAAAAAAAAACAGGATATACATTAAAAAATTGGGATAATAAGACCATTTTCGGCTCTCAGACATACGTTTCCGGCATCAATATTTCTCACAATAAAGAGTTGAGTGATCTGCTAAGACCAAATATCTTTAGGAAATTTAGACTCTACTGTCAAAAAAATGCTAGAATTACGGCAGTCTAGAATGAGGCCGTTTTTGGCCCTTAACGTGACATCCACCCTTCTTTGAGTTCATGATGTCGATAAAACTCAGACGTGAAAATATCGATGACTGTATTAAATGTGACTGCTCTGAAACGCGATAATTCGTTGAAAACCGATTATATATCAATTTCCAAAGCCTCCTTCATCTCTTATGATCTCATTGAGGAATGGACGATTCGAGCACTTTTTCCTTTAATAATTGACTCACACTGATTGCTATGATAGAAAAAATCGGAGTTAAAAATTTATGTTAAGGCTCTGCGTACGACTGTTTCACACGAGAAATGCCATCTTCATGATTTGAAACAGGCATGGATTACACCGAGTTGGATATCGACGGCAAACTTTTTAAGCTTTATTAAATAATAAACTTTTACGTCCTTGACTGAGAAAATTGACCCGATGCTTTGCGTTACTGGTGCATTTGGTATCGAAAGATGTAACGAGCATTTTCATCGAGTTCGTTTCATTTTTAGCGCCAATTATTTCCTGATACGGATGCTGGAGAGATGTGTCGAAAATATTTAGAAGCAATAAAAAGAAGCCGATTTAGTTTAACAGTAATTCAACCTCACACCTCAGGAATCGTTAAAGCTCCTTAGTGGAAGTTTCCAGGTTTTCCTTCTTCACCGAGGGCAGTTTTAGCCTTCTAAATCTGGCGAGACGAAGAAAAAAGATTTTAAAAGCAACTGCTCGGAACTTAATTCTCTCTTCGAGTTTCCGTAATAATATATGTGCTCGAGCTACATCTGCACTACTCGCAGACCGGTTGCTCCGGAACTACCGCTCTCCGGATTTATCTTTGTCATCTTTTTTCTTTTGTTCAGTTTTTCTTGAAACTCCTTTTAATTACTTTTCCGAGTTCCTGCCTTTCCCCACGTTTGGCCAGGCTGCCTCTCCCTGTCGTTTTATATCCCTCCCATATTCTTCCCTCCATTCCGTCCGCTAAACTTGATTTTCTTCCTTCATTTCACGCTGAAGGCGAAACTCCTCATTTTCTTTTCAAATCTTGGCGAAATTATCTCTTCATTTTCATGTTGTTTTTCCTCCTGCATAAATTCTGAGGGAGCTTTTGACGACTGGTTTTTCTCTTCGTGCTAAAGGCTAAGTTTAAGTGGATAATAAGTGCAGCTATTTGTCGTTGACTTCCAAATAAATACATGAAACATAATTTAGTCAAAGAATAATTTTTTAGAGTAGATTTCACAATGTTGCGTTCGTTTTTACAAAACGTATGCCTCTTTACCAACCTATACTTTTGCGTATTTTTCAAATTCAATCGATAATATTCCAATAGACTGTACGCCGTGCGAAAATAAACTGTATATACTAACTCCGGGAAAGGTAATTGATCAGAAATAAGTATTGTGACTTATTACTTTCCATTGAACGATGGCTAGTATACTTTTCTCCATTGAACTCACCTCTGTTGGGCACATAGTAAACTGAGAATAAGAAAAAATGCAAAAAAGAAAAAAATTACTTACTTTCATCGGTCTGAGGAGCTGAAAGGATGGCACTATGTTTTTTCTTCACTTCTTCTACATTCCTTTGTATAAGATCTATCATCTCTCGTATCTCTTCAACCTGCAACCAAGGAAATTTGATTAAGACAAGTATCAAATTGCATACATGAAAGACTAGTTAAAAATAGTTGAAAAATTGTTTTTGACAAAATAAAAACAAATGATACCACTTAAAGTTAAAAAATGAAAACGTTTTGTAGAAAAAAGATATTTAAAAGTCGCCAGAATGTACCGATTTTTTTTACAATAAAAAGCTTAGTGCATCTCTAGGAATTCGCAAGAACTTCTAAATCGATTATGGATCAAAATTATGAGACCAGAAAACTTTGGGAAAACGCCTGAACTCTTTGGAAAACGTTGTCCAGGTCTCACATGAAAATTGATTTATGTCCTCACGTTCGCATGGCGAGTATAATGTTATTATTAGAGTCTTCACCTATTGCACACGTATTATTTCAGAACTTTCCATGTGGAATTGACCCTAGTGCTTACTTTTATCAAATTAAAGTAAGTTTTCGATCTGACAGACTCTAGTCGGTCAGACCAAGGTTAAATAAGAAGACGTAGTTGGCATAATTTTTCCGCTGACTGACCGACATACCATTTGAGAGTTGCTGATAGTTTTGTACATGTGAAATGAAAAATATGAAAGATTGGGAAGTTCCGTAAGATATTTCTTAAAACTGTGAAACATATTAAACGTTTTTTCAGGAGCTAGGTCAGCGACAAAATTTCATGAAAAATAAAATCTTGATGCATCACGTGAAATATTTTATGAAATTTCGGAAATTTATGAAAGGTATTGAAAAATACCGGTTCCTTTTCATGTTTCACGAAATGCAAAAATTATGACTTTCTTCTATTTTTGTGTGTCTCAGTGAGGGTTGCATACTCTAGCCCCTGAAAAATATAAAATATTTCATAAATATAAAATATAAATATTTCAAATTTTTCATTAATAATAAATATTTCATATATTTGTGAAATTCCATGAGAAATTTCACTGAAATTTCCAATTTTTCAGTTTTTTCTTACGTTTCATGCCACCCTGAGCTGGGTATGCAACACGCCCTAAAAACGCCGAACAGCAAAAACCACTTGCCTTTTGATAAATTATGCATTTAACTCCGAAAAATATATTTCGATACCTTTTACATGTTTCTGAAATTTCAAGAAATATTTCACCTGTGATTCAAAGATTTTATTTTTCCTAAGCCCTGGATAGACGATTAAATTCAGAACCAATTCCGATCAAAGTAGACATGCTGATGACTGATGGTCACCATCTACCATCAAAGAGCTTTTTTCGGCCCCCCCCTGGAAGTTCTTCAGACTTTGTCTATTGATTACTCATACTTGAGCGCTTCTTTTCCCAAATTTTCAGACCCCCGAAAAATTTTGGGGGGGANTTTGGGAAAAGAAGCGCTCAAGTATGAGTAATCAATAGACAAAGTCTGAAGAACTTCCAGAGGGGGGGGCGAAAAAAGCCGTTTTTGCATCAAGCTCTTTTGACGGGCCGCACTATTTTGTTCAAAGTAAGATCAGAATGGAGTGCCACCATTCATAATTTCCTGCCTCAGGAAACATTTCTGCCCAGTTTCCATTTTAAAATTAAGCAAATTTATGAGTTTAAGACTGATGACTCCCGACACTTTGATGGTAATTGGTTCGGGAATTTGATCGTCTATCGAGGCCTATAAAAAATTACGACCATCGTTACCGAACGTAAGAAAATGTTCAGCCAACGTGACGAACTTTCACATCACTCTTTCACAGTGCTTAGGGTGGGTCTTAAGACCTTAACCTACGTATTTCTTAAAGGCACCGCCGACTTAAGTCACATGGAGTTGAGAGGGTGATGCTGCTTCAGATGGGAAAGACGCAAACGGCGCACAGTGGATCGAGTCAATCAGAGAGGTCGGACATGAAATTTTTAGATAAAACCGCAAATTTCGATGTTCGATTCACCGTGTTTAAAATTTTAAGAGGTGCTTCTGAAAGAAAATTTCACGAGGAATCAAATAGGACCACTTTTTAAACCTCAACTTTTTGTTTTGTGCGACCTCCCCTATTGACTCGATCCACCGTGCGGCGATGCGCCGACCATCTGCAAAACGATGTTCATGTTTGCAGAGGATTACTTGAATCTTTCTCGTCATGAGTGTCGGAGGATTGGATCGTTTAAGGGAGGAAGGCGACGCATAGTGGAATAAGACGATGGAAGAAGTCGGACAAAATTTGAAAGCTTTGAAAGCTGTATATCTTCGAAAATATGAGGCAGAAAAGTTGAAAAGAGGTTTCATCGAATGGAGATGTTGCATGTGTGGGGGATTTGCGATTTGACCATTGATTCTTATGTAAAAGTTCGCGAGAAACACGATGGTGCAACTGGTTTTCTCTGAAATCATCTCCCAAGCTCGAAAAAAGCTCTCAAAGTGAGGCCAAAATGGAGGGGATATCCCACCCTACCCTGAGAGTCCACCTCTACATTATAACAAAATCTCCATGCAAAGATAGGGAGCAAATACATTAGCAGTGATGCCGTGTTTTCAGTTTTGGAATCCCCAAATAAAGTGGCAACCCTGCTAATGTATTTACTCCCTATATCTCTGCATGGAGAGTTTGTTTTGATGTAGAGGTGGACTCTCGGGATAGGGTGGGATATCCCCTCCATTTTGGCCTCAACTTGAGAGCTTTTTTTGAGCTTGTGAGTTGATTTCAGAGAAAACCAGTAGCATCACCGTGTTCCTCGCAAACTTTTATGTAAGAATCAACAGTCAAATCGGAAATTCCTCACACATGCAACATCTCCATTCTTCGTAAAATTTCCTTTCGGAAATACTCCAAGAAATCGAAACTGTGAGGGTACAAACATTCAAATTTTGAAATTTTTGTTAAAAATTTTCAGCCCGACCTCTCCTAATGGCTTGTTCCACTGTGCGATGAAACAAGGATATCCGTGTTTGGACGCGACGCGTGCAGTGATTAGCACTTGATACGAGTGGCCCAGACTGGGATGCGGATGGGAGCTTGCTATCTCGAGAACTTTGTTTCCAAGTTTGACTCCATCATTATACATTCACTTCGCGAGAATCCAACTTCATACCATCCACACTCTTCGCAAGTCCCACAAAATCTTCGCGAGTTTTGAAAACAACCTTGCGAAGCAGACTTCTTCGATCATCGGAGAAGATGCGCCGGGTTTGGATACGATCAGAAGCCAGAGATTTTTTTTGGAAGGCGAGAGGTCATGCGGGATTCAGGACAGGCACAGTGGATCGAGTCAATACGATAGGTACAGAAAGCTTAAATGCACCGATAAAAATATTTGTGTTCTTGTGTTACTTCTGGTTAAAATAGGAGATGAAACACAAACCGACACAAATTTTGTGTTACTTTGGTACAGTTTGCCGTGAATTTAGGGAAGAAAACAATTAAAAGACTGAGAAACCCCAGAGTCAACCCAAGGCTTGGGTTATTTTGTGTTTTACTTCCTGTTAACCAAACTTTTGTGTTATCTCTTTCACTGGAATAAAAAACACATTGGATCTAGAGTCCAGACTCTTGAAAACATTGACAAGAAAAAGGACTCTTAATTCAATTAGATTTAAGCTTAAATCAAAAATAAATCCGCTCAAATTAAGAGGCTTGGTTCTTGATTTAAGCTTAAATCTAATTGAGTTAACATTCCTTTTTCTTGTCGATGTTTTTAAGAGTCTGGACTATAGATCCAATGCCTTTTTTTCCAGTGTTGTGTAGTGATGATATTTCGCTTCCGACTTTCCTATTAATCCTTCATTTTCGCAATGCTATATCAAAGGGCAGAAGAATGTATTTCAACTTGATTTGGCTGAGGCAATAGAATAATTTACTTTCATTCGTCGAGGAATCGATGTGTCCCGACGGAGTTTCCTGCTGGAGTTTCCTGCGAGGATATTCCTGCGGGGACTAAACTGAGTCACGAACAGAAGCGCCGACTAGACCTGCGAGGATCGATCGCTCCAAGTTGAGCTTCAGGAGAGAGATAAGGGAATTGACTGCTTGTGGCCATGAAGTTCATCCCAGACCTGAGATCCGAAAAGCAATCGGAAACAGCGAATCTTACGCTAGGGATGCAGAGAATTCTTAGCCTTCCCATTTTTCGAATTGCCCTTCCCGTTTTAAAAACTTCTTTTTCCTAAAAAATTCCATAAAGATGACTTTTATATATGACTATAGCTCATGCACGTAAAACTGCCGTGGTAAAGCGATTAACTCGTAAATTTTATCGTGATTTTACGAAAAACAGAGACGAACTTTTGCAAAAACAAATTTGCCGGCTTTCCTATTTTAAAGGGATGTTTTCGGGGCCTTCCCATTGTTACACCACACACGTGACCGATTGCAACTCACCCTGTCACGTGGTTGAAAGATTTGTGTACCCCTGTCTCGCGGAACTGAGGAGCTTTGCAGAAAAAGGAAATTCAAAAAAAGACGTATCCCCCCCCCCTTTCCAAAAAGTATTCGGCCGGAAGTCGAAAGTTCACGTAACTACATCGAAACATGAAGCAGCAATTAGGTCTAAGAAAATTGGCAATTGAATAACGTGGTTATTGCTTCTTACGGCACACAGTCGATCTAGTCAATAGGGAAGGTCGGGCGGAATTTGGAAACTTTAAACGCTTTTAACTCCGCTTATACAAAAGTTTGACGATCTAAAAGTGGTTTCATTGGCTTCCTCGTACATTTTTCTTTACAAGAAATCCCTTGAAATGTAAAATGTGAGGCAATGCGAACATATTTTGCAGTTTTAGTCAAAAATTTCATGTCTGACTTCTCTAATAGAGAATTTGCAGGCGTCTGAAATTTGATGAATTTCTTGTTTAAGTGGAAACTCCTGAGTGAACTGAACACGAAGATACCCTTGGTTCATGAATTGAACATATTGAACAATTATTGGAGAAGATATGACTAAATTATCTAATCTGCTTAGATACGTGTGTTTAAATGGGAAATGCCGCCAGATGACGTCACCAGGCGGTGCATTTTCTCATTTTGAATCGACTTTTATACTATTTCCCA